AACTGAAATCTGCAGCAGTTTTTCTGGACGTCCGAAAGGCCTTTGACTCCGTGTGGCACAAAGGATTGCTATTTAAACTGGATAAGCTAAAAACGCCATACTATCTTCTAACCCTGATAAACCAATTCCTGTCGAATCGCTCCTCCATCGTGAAGTTGAAAAATCACTTCTCCCACAGCTTCTCCGCTCAGCAAGGCCTTCCTCAGGGTTCGCCTATCTCTCCCTCTCTATACAATCTTTTCTGCCACGATCTTTACAACGACAACCCAGACGCCTTTAACCTCACTGCATACGCACTACTTTATGCCGACGACACAGCATTGGTCTCGCACAGTAGGGATATCACTTCCTCGGTCCGTAAGCTGCAGACGCTCATAAACGAAACGGAAAATTGGTACCGAAAATGGCGCATCCTACTCAATCCCACAAAAACACAATTTTTTGTCCCATTCCTCTCACCCCGCGCTCCCTCTCCCACAATTACAATCCAATCAACGGCAATCTCCGTCTCACCAACCTGCAAGTATCTTGGCATAATACTTGACAGAACGCTTAAGTTTTCCACTCATGCAACCAAGGTGAAGATGAAAGTAAAGACACGCGCCAAACACTTTAAATCTCTCTCGTTCAGCGGTCGCGGAATCTCTACCTCATGTGCCTCGCACATCTACAAGACCATATGCAGGCCCATCATAGAATATGGATCAATACTGCTAAGCAACGCACCAAGAAGAACGAAGTACCACCTGGAAGTAGCGGAAAGATCTGCACTGAGATCCATCACCCGAATTAGGAACCCCCGTAATCCCCTCTTTAACCCTAGCAATGATCTGCTATACCAACTTACCGATATACCCCCTATCCATACCCGTCTTCAATCTTTGTCCGATAAATCCATTCTAAATTTTCCTACCAACGCCTTGCAACACACGCTTATATCGCCTCCATTACTCCACCCTCGCAACAACCCACCTCTTCTCTTCCAAAAACTCCTGGCCGTCAGAGAAGACTGAAGCAAGCCGCCGACTACAAAAATCACGGGCAGAAAGACCTTGGTCGGTAGCCCTATTCTCACCCCTTAACTTTTTTATTTTTGTTTTATATACATATAGATATTTTTATTGTTATTTTTTTTTTTTTTTTATGAATTGGGTACAGAATAAAATTTGTTTTTCTTCTTCTGTATCGTTGTGTTTAAACATTTTTATTTCAAGAACAAAGAAACATTTTCAAAAACGATATTCTTCATAAACAAGGTGACAGTTTCTTCTATAATTACTGCAAATTGCATAATGATATGTTTAAAAATCGATTTTTTATGATTTTTTGATATCGACTTAATAAATAACTTAAACACAAAAAAGCGATGACACAAAAAATTGAATATCTCAAGAAGTAAAAAATATTTCGAAAAGCGGCCTATTTCATTAAAAAGAATATTATTTTCTGTATAAGTGATGATAATTTCATAACGATTCATTAAAACCCCGATTTTATACGATTTTTTCAATCAAATCGAAAATCTTTATTTTCCCTACAAAGTGTAAAAATGTATTGTTGTGTTTAAACATTTTTATTTCAAGAACGAAAAAACATTTTCCAAAACGGATTTCTTCATAAACAAGGTGACACTTTCTTCTATAATTACTGAAAATTGCATAACGCTATCTTTAAAAATCGATTTTTTATGATTTTTTGAAATCGATTGCATAATTAACGTAAAAACAAAAAAGCGATGACGCAAAAAATTGAATATCTCAAGAAGTAAAAAGTATTTTCAAAAACGGTTTTTTTCATTAAAAAGATTATTGTTTTCTTTAAAAGTTGTGATAATTTCATAAGGATTCATTAATATCCCGATTTTATATGATTTTTTTAAGTCAAATCGAAAATTTTTCATTTCCTTTTAAAGTAAGAAAATGTATCGTTGTGTTTAAACATTTTTATCTCAAGAACAAAAGAACATTTTCAAAAACGGTTTTCCTCATTAACAAGGTGACACGTTCTTCTATAATTACTGAAAATTTTATAATTATATCTTTATAAATCGATTTTTTGAAATTGATTCAATAATTAACTTAAAAATAAAAAAGCGATGACACAAAAAAGTTAATATCTCAAGAAGTAAAAAGCATTTTCTAAAACGGTCTTTTTCATTAAAAAGATTATAGATTTCTTTATAAGTGGCGATAATTTCATAACGATTCATTAAAATTCCGATTTTATACGATTTTTTAAATCAAATCGAAAATCTTTATTTTCTTTATAAAGTGTGAAAATGTATCGTTGTGTTTAAACATTTTTATTTCAAGAACAAAGAAACATTTTCAAAAACGATATTCTTCATAAACAAGGTGACAGTTTCTTCTATAATTACTGCAAATTGCATAATGATACGTTTAAAAATCGATTTTTTATGATTTTTTGATATCGACTTAATAAATAACTTAAACACAAAAAAGCGATGACACAAAAAATTGAATATCTCAAGAAGTAAAAAATATTTCGAAAAGCGGCCTATTTCATTAAAAAGAATATTATTTTCTGTATAAGTGATGATAATTTCATAACGATTCATTAAAACCCCGATTTTATACGATTTTTTCAATCAAATCGAAAATCTTTATTTTCCCTACAAAGTGTAAAAATGTATTGTTGTGTTTAAACATTTTTATTTCAAGAACGAAAAAACATTTTCCAAAACGGATTTCTTCATAAACAAGGTGACACTTTCTTCTATAATTACTGAAAATTGCATAACGCTATCTTTAAAAATCGATTTTTTATGATTTTTTGAAATCGATTGCATAATTAACGTAAAAACAAAAAAGCGATGACGCAAAAAATTGAATATCTCAAGAAGTAAAAAGTATTTTCAAAAACGGTTTTTTTCATTAAAAAGATTATTGTTTTCTTTAAAAGTTGTGATAATTTCATAAGGATTCATTAATATCCCGATTTTATATGATTTTTTTAAGTCAAATCGAAAATTTTTCATTTCCTTTTAAAGTAAGAAAATGTATCGTTGTGTTTAAACATTTTTATCTCAAGAACAAAAAAACATTTTAAAAAACGGTTTTCCTCATTAACAAGGTGACACGTTCTTCTATAATTACTGAAAATTTCATAATTATATCTTTATAAATCGATTTTTTGAAATTGATTCAATAATTAACTTAAAAATAAAAAAGCGAAGACACAAAAAAGTTAATATCTCAAAAAGTAAAAAAGCATTTTCAAAAACGGTCTTTTTCATTAAAAAGATTATCGTTTTCTTTATAAGTGGCGATAATTTCATAACGATTCATTAAAATACCGATTATATACGATTTTTTAAATCAAATCGAAAATCTTTATTTTCCCTATCAAGTGAGAAAACGTATCGTTGTGTTTAAAAATTTTTATCTCAAGAACAAAAAAACATGATCAAAAATGGTTTTCTTCATTAACAAGGTGACACTTTCTTCTATAATTACTGAAAATTGGACAATGATATCTTTAAAAATCGATTTTTTACGATTTTTTGAAATCAATTCAATAATTAACTTAAAAATGAAAAAGCGATGACCCAAGAAATTTAATATCTCAAGAAGTAAAAAGTATTTTCAAAAAAGATCTTTCTCATTAAAAAGGTTATAGTTTGCTTTATAAGTGGTGATAATTTCATAACGATTCATTAAAATTCCGATTTTATACGATTTTTCTAAATCATGTCGAAAATTTTTTATTTCCTTATAAAGTGAGAAAATATCGTTGTGTTTAAACATTTTTATCTCAAGAACAAAAAAACATTTTCAAAACCGGGTTTCCTCATTAACAAGGTGACACTTTCTTCTATAATTACTGAAAATTTCATAATTATATCTTTATAAATCGATTTTTTTAAATTGATTCAATAATTAACTTAAAAATAAAAAAGCGATGACACAAAAAATTTTATATCTCAAGAAGTAAAAAGTATTTTCAAAAACGGTTTTTTTCATTACAAAGATTACAGTTTTATTTATAAGTGGTGATAATTTCATAATGATTCATTCAAACCACGATTTTATATGATTTTTTAAATCAAATCAAAAATCTGTATTTCCCCTATGAAGTGAGAAAATGTATCATTGTGTTTAAACATTTTTATCTCAAGAACGAAAAAACATTTTCCAAAACGGTTTTCTTCATTAACAAGGTGACATTTTCTTCTATAATTACTGAAAATTTCACAATGATGTCTTTAAAAATTGATTTTTTATGATTTTTTGAAATCGATTCAATGATTAACTTAAAAATAAAAAAGCGATAACACAAAAAATTTTATATCTCAAGAAGTAAAAAGTATTTTCAAAAACGGTCTTTTTCATTAAAGAGATTATAGCTTTCTTTATGAGTGGTGATAATTTCATAACAATTCATTAAAACCCCGATCTTATATGATTTTTTAAATCAAATCGAAAATCTTTATTTTCCCTATTAAGTTAGAAAAGGTATCGTTGTGTTTAAACATTTTTATCTCAAGAACGCAAAAACGTTTTCAAAAACAGTTTTTTTCATTAATAAGGTAACACTTTCTTCTATAATCACTAAAAATTTCATAATATTGAAATGATTTTTTGAAAGCTGTCAAAAAAAATTTAATATTCAAAAATTGAAAAGTATTTTTAAAAACAGTCTGATTCATTAGACAGATTAAAGTTTTCATTAATGGTGATAATTTCGTGACGACATCATTAAAAATTAATTTAAAATTTGACTTTATTTTATCATGAAGATTATGTACATTGGGTTGCATACACAATCCTAAGAAAGAATTATGTCGTCCTAAAAAAGGCACCTTTAATTATTAAATGAAACATTTTTAAAATGAAACAAATACATAAAAAAATAATTATAATTTATAAAAATAAGAAAGAAAATAAATGTTAATCAATAAAGAATTAATATCAATATTTATTTAAAATAAATTTGAGGATCATAATAACAACGAAGTTAGTTACACAAATAACTTAACCTAAAACTTAAACATCTTGACATTTAAAGACGTCAAAATTGTCAAATCGAGTTATGTTTTCGTTTAGATTTTTGATCGTTAGCACATAATTCTAAAAATAAAACAACTTTAAACCAATAACAAAAAAACGTAAGCAACATTTAATATTATTTAGTTAGTTTAAACATTAATTATTCTTCTTTCTTTTAAATTTTAGATGTGTGACAACCCCCCAACATTACTCAACGCGTGCCTGGAATACATTTGCGATAACATGGGTCTAGTTTTCCAACCAAATTACGTATACAACACGGAATATTCTTACACATTTCGAGATCAAAACATTTCCTTATGCACGGAACTCTGCGAACAGCTCCTCGAACACTTGGTGGAGAAAGATTGCATACGAGATTTATCCGTATCAATATTCACCAAAACGAATACCCGTCTAAGACGAGTAAAATTAAAAGACTGTCAGTATTTAACATCCGACGGATTTGAAGTTCTTTTAAGACACAATGTCCATGAATTTGAATGTGTTAATGTAAATACAACCCCAATTGATATTGTTTTAGCAAATCTAAATGAATGGTCTGTTAGAAATTTAAAAAGTTTAAATATTTCAAAGTATAAACTTAATAAAAAGGACAGTCGAACACTTAATTCTTCGATTTGGGATAGAGCAATAAATCAAATTACAAGTTTGGAGAATTTACGATCGCTTAATGTTGCTTATACAGAGTTTAATCAAACATTGTTGGAGGTTATTTGTGATAAATTAGGGTTTTTGGAGAAATTGAATATATCCGGGACTCTTATTGTAGATTTGAAACCTTTAGTTGGGTTAACGGAACGATTAATTATGTTGGGAATTAGTGTAAGTATTGTTTTAATCAATTTTATTTTATTTAAATTGTGTAAAATAAATATTTGAAAGTCGCTTGTGGCCAATGCAGCACAATTAATACCATAATCATTATAAAATTATCACCACTTATAAAGAAAACTATAAACTTTTTAATGAAAAAGACCGTTTTTGAAATTACTTTTTACTTCTTGCTTTTTTATTTTGTAGGGAAAATAAAGATTTTCGATTTGATTTAAAAAATCGTATAAAATCGGAATTTTAATGAATCGCTACGAAATTATCACCACTTATAAAGAAAACTATAATCTTTTTAATGAAAAAGACCGTTTTTGAAAATACTTTTTACTTCTTGAGATATTAAATTTTTTGTGTCATCACTTTTTTATTTTTAAGTTATTTGTTGAAATGATTTTAAAAAATCATAAAAAATCGATTTTTAAAGATAGCATTATGCAATTTTCAGTAATTATAGAAGAAGGTGTCACCTTTTTAATGAAAAAAACCGTTTTTGAAAACGTTTTTTCGTTCTTGAGATAAAAATGTTTAAACATAACGATACATTTTCACACTTTGTATATAGAAAAAATGAAGATTTTCGATTTGATTTAAAAAATCGTATAAAACCGGAATTTTAATGAATCGCTACAATATTATCACCACTTTTAAAGAAAACAATAATCTTTTTATTGAAAAAGACCGTTTTTGAAAATACTTTTTACTTTTTGAGATATTAAATTTGTTGTGTCATCACTTTTTTATTTTTAAGTTATTTGTTGAAACGATTTCAAAAAATCATAAAAAATCGATTTTTAAAGATAGCATTATGAAATTTTCAGTAATTATAGAAGAAAGTGTCACCTTGTTCATGAAGAAAACTGTTTTTGAAAATGATTTTTCGTTCTTGAGATAAAAATGTTTAAACACTACGATACATTTTCTCACTTTATAGGGAAATCAAAAGTTTTCGATTTGATTTAAAAAATCGTATAAAATCAGGATTTTAATGAATCGCTACGAAATTATCACCACTTATAAAGAAAACTATAATCTTTTTAATGAAAAAGACCGTTTTTGAAAATACTTTTTACTTCTTGAGATATTCAATTTTTTGCGTCATCACTTTTTTGTTTTTACGTTAATTATTGAATCGATTTTAAAAAATCATAAAAAATCGATTTTTAAAGATAGCGTTATGCAATTTACAGTAATTATAGAAGAAAGTGTCACCTTGTTTATGAAGAAATCCGTTTTGAAAATGTTTTTTCGTTCTTGAAATAAAAATGTTTAAACACAACGATACATTTTCACACTTTATAAGGAAAATAAAGATTTTCGATTTAATTTAAAAAATCGTATAAAATCAGGATTTTAATGAATCGTTATGAAATTATCACCACTTATAAAGAAAATTGTTAACTTTTTAATGAAAGAGACCATTTTTGAAAATACTTTTTACTTTTTGAGATATTCAATTTTTTGTGTCATCGCTTTTTTGTTTTTACGTTAATTATTGAATCAATTTCAAAAAATCTTAAAAAATCGATTTTTAAAGACATCGTTATGCAATTTTCAGTAATTATAGAAGAAAGTGTCACCTTTTTAATAAAGAAAACCGTTTTTGAAAATGTTTTTTCGCTCTTGAGATAAAAATGTTTAAACACAACGATACATTTTCACACTTTATAAGGAAAATAAAGATTTTCGATTTGATTGAAAAAATCGTATAAAATCGGAATTTTAATGAATCGTTATGAAATTATCATCACTTTTAACAAAAAACTATAATCTTTTTAATGAAAAAGACCGTTTTTGAAAATTCTTTTTACTTCTTGAAATATTACACTTTTTGTGACATCGCTTTTTTATTTTTAAGTTATTTATTGAATCGATTTCAAAAAATCATAAAAAATCGATTTTTAAAGATAGCGTTATGCTATTTTCAGTAATTATAGAAGAAAGTGTCACCTTGTTTATGAAAAAAACCGTTTTAAAAAATGTTTTTTCGTTCTTGAGATAAAAATATTTAAACAACGATACATTTTCACACTTTGTAGGGGAAATAAAGATTTTCGATTTGATTGAAAAAATCGTATAAAATCGGGGTTTTAATGAATCGTTATAAAATTATCACCATTTATAAAGAAAACTATAAACTTTTTAATGAAAAAGACCGTTTTTGAAAATACTTTTTACTTTTTGAGATATTCAATTTTTTGTGTCATCGCTTTTTTGTTTTTACGTTAATTATTGAATCGATTACAAAAAATCATAAAAAATCGATTTTTAAAGATAGCGTTATGCAATTTTCAGTAATTATAGAAGAAGGTGTTACCTTGTTTATGAAGAAATCCGTTTTGGAAAATGTTTTTTCGTTCTTGAAATAAAAATGTTTAAACACAACAATCATTTTCACACTTTATAGGGAAAATAAAGATTTTCGATTTGATTTAAAAAATCATATAAAATCGGAATTTTAATGAATCGCTTCGAAATTATCATCACTTTAAAAAAAAAACTATAATCTTTTTAATGAAACAGACCGTTTTTGAAAATACTTTTTACTTCTTGAGATATTAAATTTTTTGTGTCATTGCTTTTTTATTTTTAAGTTATTTGTTGAAACGATTTCAAAAAATCATAAAAAATCGATTTTTAAAGATAGCATTATGCAATTTTCAGTAATTATAGAAGAAAGTGTCACCTTTTTAATAAAGAAAACCGTTTTTAAACATGTTTTTTCGTTCTTGAAATAAAAATGTTTAAACACAACGATACATTTTCACACTTTATAAGGAAAATAAAGATTTTCGATTTAATTTAAAAAATCGTATAAAATCAGGATTTTAATGAATCGTTATGAAATTATCACCACTTATAAAGAAAATTGTTAACTTTTTAATGAAAAAGACCATTTTTGAAAATACTTTTTACTTTTTGAGATATTCAATTTTTTGTGTCATCGCTTTTTTGTTTTTACGTTAATTATTGAATCAATTTCAAAAAATCTTAAAAAATCGATTTTTAAAGACATCGTTATGCAATTTTCAGTAATTATAGAAGAAAGTGTCACCTTTTTAATAAAGAAAACCGTTTTTGAAAATGTTTTTTCGCTCTTGAGATAAAAATGTTTAAACACAACGATACATTTTCACACTTTATAAGGAAAATAAAGATTTTCGATTTGATTGAAAAAATCGTATAAAATCGGAATTTTAATGAATCGTTATGAAATTATCATCACTTTTAACAAAAAACTATAATCTTTTTAATGAAAAAGACCGTTTTTGAAAATTCTTTTTACTTCTTGAAATATTACACTTTTTGTGACATCGCTTTTTTATTTTTAAGTTATTTATTGAATCGATTTCAAAAAATCATAAAAAATCGATTTTTAAAGATAGCGTTATGCTATTTTCAGTAATTATAGAAGAAAGTGTCACCTTGTTTATGAAAAAAACCGTTTTAAAAAATGTTTTTTCGTTCTTGAGATAAAAATATTTAAACAACGATACATTTTCACACTTTGTAGGGGAAATAAAGATTTTCGATTTGATTGAAAAAATCGTATAAAATCGGGGTTTTAATGAATCGTTATAAAATTATCACCATTTATAAAGAAAACTATAAACTTTTTAATGAAAAAGACCGTTTTTGAAAATACTTTTTACTTTTTGAGATATTCAATTTTTTGTGTCATCGCTTTTTTGTTTTTACGTTAATTATTGAATCGATTACAAAAAATCATAAAAAATCGATTTTTAAAGATAGCGTTATGCAATTTTCAGTAATTATAGAAGAAGGTGTTACCTTGTTTATGAAGAAATCCGTTTTGGAAAATGTTTTTTCGTTCTTGAAATAAAAATGTTTAAACACAACAATCATTTTCACACTTTATAGGGAAAATAAAGATTTTCGATTTGATTTAAAAAATCATATAAAATCGGAATTTTAATGAATCGCTTCGAAATTATCATCACTTTAAAAAAAAAACTATAATCTTTTTAATGAAACAGACCGTTTTTGAAAATACTTTTTACTTCTTGAGATATTAAATTTTTTGTGTCATTGCTTTTTTATTTTTAAGTTATTTGTTGAAACGATTTCAAAAAATCATAAAAAATCGATTTTTAAAGATAGCATTATGCAATTTTCAGTAATTATAGAAGAAAGTGTCACCTTTTTAATAAAGAAAACCGTTTTTAAAAATGTTTTTTCATTCTAGAGGTAAAAATGTTTAAACACAACGATACATTTTCACACTTTATAAGGAAAATAAAGATTTTCGATTTGATTTAAAAAATCGTATAAAATCAGGATTTTAATGAATCGTTATGAAATTATCACCACTTATAAAGAAAACTATAAACTTTTTAATGGAAAAGACCGTTTTTGAAAATACTTTTTACTTTTTGAGATATTCAATTTTTTGCGTCATCGCTTTTTTGTTTTTACGTTAATTATTGACTCGATTTCAAAAAATTATAAAAAATCGATTTTTAAAGATAGCATTATGCAATTTTCAGTAATTATAGAAGAAAGTGTCACCTTTTTAATAAAGAAAACCGTTTTTGAAAATGTTTTTTCGTTCTTGAAATAAAAATGTTTAAACACAACGATACATTTTCACACTTTGTAAGGAAAATAAAGATTTTCGATTTGATTGAAAAAATCGTATAAAATCGGAATTTTAATGAATCGTTATGAAATTATCACCACTTATAAAGAAAACTATAATCTTTTTAATGAAAAAGACCGTTTTTGAAAATACTTTTTACTTCTTGAGATATTCAATTTTTTGCGTCATCGCTTTTTTGTTTTTACGTTAATTATTGAATCGATTTAAAAAAATCATAAAAAATCGATTTTTAAAGATAGTGTTATGCAATTTTCAGTAATTATAGAAGAAGGTGTTACCTTGTTTATGAAGAAATCCGTTTTGGAAAATGTTTTTTCGTTCTTGAGATAAAAATGTTTAAATACAACGATACATTTTCACACTTTGTAAGGAAAATAAAGATTTTCGATTTGATTAAAAAAATCGTATAAACTCGGGCTTTTAATGAATC